TCTAAAACTATCAGGTCTGTGCAGTGTCCTATGGCATCTATGTACCAAGTTTGCATATAACATCAACAGTGACTGTCAATCAAAGAGCAACGTAAACAAACTTTCAGGACTTTAAATCACATACGCGTGCCTCGATTCCCTATATTTTAAAATCTATTTTTGGGCATGTTCCAGCATTGACAATGCTCTGAAATTTCAACACTATCTAGTCAAGACTGTCTGGGTGAGAAAAGTAAAAAAAAAATCACTCCGAGTGCCACGTACATGCTTCTATACCTTAAATGACTAAATTTGCAATCTACTAGTAGTTTTCATGAATTCAGACCAGTTAGAAATGTATGATCTCAAGACGAAACGAATTGCCGTAGTCATGTATCCTAACATGTATAAAACCACGAAGCCTGCCAGTCGGTCATCATCGATCCAATCGCGAAATAAATCAAATTAACAAGTATAATGCCTGTACCAAAATTGAACAAAAACTGACAAAGCATGTCCAAGATACAACATTTTCAAAAACAAAATGGCTGCCAGTCGGCCATCTTGTCCCACATAAACAAATTCAATCCAGATGGTTATGAAATATGACCATGTACGGACGGACGAAGACCGAATTACAAGTCTCCGTTTACGAGTCTCGTTCAGCAGCATATTGCAACATCTAAAACAACATGTAACATTCCAAAATGTAAACTGCATGGCAACCATTATTTGGTAATTTAAGGGTTTGTTGCATTTATCTCTTCTCGAATGATCAATTGTGTAGAGCAATTCTATTGATGTCCATTCAACCATTCTCTACAATAAAACTGTTTGAAACATCACTCGGAGGGATTGTGCGACCAGATGTCGGACCTACAGAATTATTACAGAATGGCAGAGTCACTGATTCATGGATGAAAGGTTTTGGACTATTCTATTAGATGGAAAATTCAACTTTGTTGCCAAATTATTTATTGACCATTTCTATTCTTATTTAACTCTAATGAACAGTTTCGAATATACAACAGTTATTCTCAGTGAACATATGAATCACTGTGTGGATCGAATACAGCAGCATATATAAAACAATTGAATACTGATGTCACAGTTATGAATAAGACTTTTAAAGATACGAGAAGACCTAAAATCAGTGCATTAGGGTACACCACATCAATCATTAACAAAACTACCATACCACACAATAGACAGTGGGAGATCTAGATTGTATGTCGTATAGCTATTGTGTAAGAGGCAAACGTATAAATTGTATTTGGTAGTTTATGGGTTTGTTACATTTATCTTTTCTCGAAAGACCAATAGTTCAGTGCAATTCTGTTCATGTCCATTCAACCATTCACTACAATATAATCACTCCTGGAGAATTGTGAGATCATGACTTACTACAGAATGACAGTCACTGATTCATGGATGAAAGGTTTTGAAATATTATATTAGATGGAAAATTCAACTTTCTTATTAATTATTAAAATAATTATATATGAATAGTTTCGAATTTTTAAACTGCCTCGTTTGCGAATCTTAGAAACAATCAACATGAATTAACGACTGGTCTTTTCTGGGGTCATTAAAACACTGCGATGACATACATTTTAGGACAGTGCACACGTGATAGAAACGAGCATGTGATCAGAAGTGACAAATACAGTCACTGAAGGGACGCAATACGATGCGAGTCATGAAAAGGTAAATCCTTATTAGATGTATTAATTGTGTTCAACATAGGAGGTAATTACATGAACATTTGTTGAAAAAGTCATTAATTTATTTACCATAGTTAGAGTTTGAAGTAGATAACCAAAAGATTGTTCGCCATAGTTCTTATAGGGAGGTAAAAACATACGGGGATCGGGGAACTTCGTTTCGCTTTCTGATGCCACTTACACGTAGAGATACCAGATTCGACCCAAATGAATACACATTAGTTCATTACAGACAGTCCAGCTTTGTTCACACAAGCAGTCAGCAGAGGTAACATCTCGCTGTACCGTTCTTTCATTCTCTCCCCCTTACAAAGGTTACACACTCTCTATAATAAAAGTCAAAGCCTTGCAACGTTGCCACTACTAAATACAATATTAAAGTAAACAATCTATTTATCAAATTCCTGTAATATATGTTTATAATCTTCACCCTAAACATGCAAGTTGTTGATTCTGAATAATAGTCTAACGTCGTGTGAACCGAACGTGAAGTCGCTATCATAACACAAGGAAAGGTTAGTTATCTGCGTAAATTAAGTTTGTGTGCATTTGAAGACTAAATTTTGCAGAGAAACACTATTTCACATTTTGCGCTGTTTTATGAGACTTTCACTGCTGTTACATATCCATGATTACATATCCCCTTGCCCGGTGTGTGTAATATGTTGTGTTCTTTTTTGGTTGATGTCAGTTGATTTTGGCGGTTATGTGTGAACGATTTATTCGAGTGTTATTAAACATTTACGTCAGAAGTACTAAGTTCGAGGAATTATCCATCTTTCTATCGAACAAATACACACAGAGAATCGAATCGTGTCACACGCCCGCCTCAAGACTCCCCTCGTCGAGAGCTTGCCACGACTAACTGAGATCGGTTTTATTCACATTCCAACTGTTAACCAATTACAGAGAAGTTAAAAGACTCTAAGACGTGGCCTTCATACATATAGCCAATCACGCAAAGTACTCAACACGCCATAATGTCTGATTAATTGCCTCCGATGTCGGGACATAACTCTCATACTTATCGGTGCGGCCTCGTTGACTTAACCAACTTCCATAGTCGACCATTATATCAGCCAGTTGTTCCATTTACTAATTCCCTAACATGCGAATGAACCTGATCCTGACAAGTTACGAGCAGGTGTGGAGGTTTGTTGTGAACGACTTGTTCACTGTATTATTATTATTATTATTATTATTATTATTATTATTATTATTATTATTATTATTATTATTATTATTATTATTATTATTATTATCATAAATCGCAATGTTACGACCAGTGAAGAACTAATCACTGATGACATAGCAATGTAATGGGGTCACTCAACAAGATTACCCATAGTAGACGATTGTAATTATGGGTAACAGTACAAATCTGAGCCGACACGTTAAAAACATGATAATAAACAAAATATAATAATTTCCCAGGAAAGCCAACCATTGGTGACATAAAAATGTAATGATGCCCTAAAACTAAGTTGTTTACAGTAGACGTTTCTTGTACTGACGTGTTTCCAGAACAATACATCGTCA